TTTGAATGTCGTGAACTCATTTTATGACATCCTTGCTGGTTTGTGAAGATGGTAGGACTGACACCAACTCCAGTGGCGTGAGTGGATTGTTTCCGTACACAATCTCGAAGGGAGTTCGGGTAGTAGTCTTATTGATGGATCGTTTATAGGAGAACTAGGCTTGAGCTAGGATAAGATTGCATTGTCTTATGTTTTTTCCCATGAAACATATCAAGAGATTGTTGAGGCTCTGATTTACTTCCTCTGTCTGTCCGTCTGTCTATAGATGAGCTGCCAAGCTGAATTGTAGTTTGGTATGAAGCTTCCGTACAGTGTCCTCTAGAAGTGGTTCAGAAATTTGATGTCTCTATCGGAGCTGATGGTCTTAGGAATTCCATGCCACCTTACAATCTCTCTGAAGTGGGTTATCTTAGAGAATCTGTCTACTACAACCATTAAGGAGTCTTTGTTCTTTTGGGTGCCTCTGGTATTGGAAGTGTTGTGTATAATCTGACATTCTGAGCACTTTTATTTGCCAAATGACAAATCCTGCATTGTTGGACGTGTCGTTCTACATCTCTTGTCAGTTTATGAGGGCGAGGGTTTTGTTTCTACCGAAATTACCTGCTTGTCCTTCGCTGCGGCCTTCTTGGACAATGGCCTCCCTTAATGAATACTGGGGAATGCACAACTGACTCTGATGGAACATGTATCCTTCTATACCGTAATATTTCCCTGTTGGTTCCTCCTGACATTGTTTCCTTATGTTTTTGAAATCTTTGTCCGTTTCATATAGATCCTTTATGACCTCAAAGCTCAGTGAATAATTGTGGTACCTCCCAGCTTTCTTGGTTACATCGTCCAGTGCAGACACTCAGATGGATTTCGTAAAGATAAAGGGAGATAGTGCTGAAGTTTCTGATAAATCTTTGATAGAAGGTTGTCATCTCTTAAATTTGCCCCAACTCGGTGAATGATTTTGGTACGTCCCAGTTGATAATGACCTCAGCATAGTGAATAATTGTGGTACCTCCTAGCTTTCTGGGTTACATCGTCCAGTGTAGACACTCAGATGAATTTCGTAAAGATAGAAGGAGATAGTGCTGAAGTTTCTAATAAATTTTTGATAGAAGGATGCCATCTCTTTAAATTGCCCCAACTCGGAGAATGATTGTGGTATGTCCCAGCTGATAATGGCCTCAGCTCAGTGAATGGTTGTGGTACCTCCCTGTTGATAATGGTCTCTATCTTTACGAGATCCATTTGAATGTATGCACTAGATGATGTAACTCAGAAAGCATAATTGGTATGCATGAAGTGACATTTCATTGGATGGGCGTATAGTCGCTTGCAGTACCTCGAATACTGCATTTAAGTGATGCAAGTGATCCTCCTTTGATTGGTTGTATACTAGAATGTCATCAAATTAGACAACGACAAACTTTTCAGTGTGAGGTCGGAATACTTGGTTCATTAATCTCATGAAGGTGCTAGGTGCGTTCGACAAACCAAAAGGCATAACAATCCACTCATATAGTTCATCCTGCGTCTTGAAGGCGGTCTTCCGCTCATATCTTGGCCTAATCCGTATCTGGTGATATCGGCTATGCAAGTCAATCTTGGAGAAGATAGTGGCTCCATGTAACTGGTCTAAGAGATCATCCAAGCGGGGTATGAGAAATCGATACTTGATGGTAATCTTGTTGATGGCTCGGTTGTAGATGCACATTTGCCAAGAACCATCCTTTTTGGGCACCATCGGGTCGGGACTTCATTTGGGTTGTGCTTTCTCTGATTAGTCCTCTTTAGTGGCGGTATTCACTTTGGTAAGTTGTCGATCTTCATACTCCGCAGGTCTTAATCTGTAGGCTGGTTATGTTGACAATACAGATCCTGGTATAAGGTCGATGGTGTGTTGAATGTCTTTTTAGTAGCGGTAATCACTTTGGTAAGTTAACGATCATAACATTCTGAAAGTCCTGTATCAATAGTTGTAGTAGTGTTGGTACCTCTCTTTCTTCCTTGTTTCCTTCCAGGAGGATTAATGCTAGTTTTATAGGCATTTCTAACTGACTGCAGGAAAGTGGTACGATGAGCTAATGACGTCTCTGTATCGCTCCCTCCTTTTGCATTCTTAGCAGGTTGTAAAACTATATGCTTCCCATCCTTCTTGAAAGGATAATTGTTTTTGAACTTGTTGTGTTGACTCTTACGATCAAATTATCAAGTCCTACCTAACAGAATGTGACAGACATCCATAGGAATCACGTAGAACCACACCTCTTTGTCGAGCTAGTCTCTGATGGAGAAGTCAACTAAGCACTGCTGATTCACACGTGTCTCATTGCCCTTCGCCGGCTGGGTAAGAGAATATGTCTGGGGATGCTTCTATGTGTCCAATCCTAACTTTTTTATCATAGCATGGACTCCATGTTCTCACAGCTCCCACTGTCGATGATTAGGTTGTAGAGCTTCCATTTGACGACGCACTTGGTGCGAAAAATGCTATGCCTTAGCCAAGGTTGGACCCGCTCAGGCTCGAACTGCAGTATTCACCGAACAACTAGTACTTCTCCTTCGTCTCCATAGAGCTGAAACTCTTCTTCTGGACTCTCCTATGATTCCTTATCGACTTCCTCGACGATGCCTTGATTTGTGAGTGTGACGACTCGACTTGTTGGGCAGCTGGCGACTATGTAACCATAGCTGTGACACCGAAAACACTTTCTGGCTAGCAATGTATTGGAGGAACTGTCTTTCTCTTGCTACTTCAGCTTTGATCTGCTCAATCAGTTCCTTGTCCAATTTTGTTATTTCCTTCTGATGCACCCTTGTCGGCTGTAGAAGTTGCAGGTGACTGTTTGGCTGAAGGTGGTGGTCTGACGTACGATTGTTGCCTGTTTTGCTTTTACTGCCTTTTTACCTTCAAGGCTAGTGTCTAAACATCCCCCAACGTCCAGTCTGGTTGTTGTTGTACCACATTGCTAATTACGGACTTTAAACTCCCGAGATATCTAACGATCGTGTGCTCTTCTGGCTTTGTCAGTTCGTACTTTAGCTGCAGGTGGTAGAACTAGGCCTTGAACTCCTCAATTGATAGATCTCGTTGCTGCAAGTTGTGTAGTTTTAGAAACATGTCTTGGCAATACTGTGGTGGGAGGTGTTTTTTCTACATTGCCTTCTTCATCTTCTCCCGCTTAGTTATTTTTCTCATTTCCTTCTCTCTTCCTCAGCCTTTGTAGATTTTCCAACCATAAGGAGGAATTCTTCTTTAGTTTAATTGCAGCTAGCTTGACTCACTTGTTCTCTGGTACGTCTTTATACTCGAAGATTCATTCGGCTGATTGCAGCAAGTCGGTAAACTCATCGGGTTCCATGCCTCCCTCAAACTTCTGGAGGTCTATCTTGATGCCAAAGTCCTACAGACCTCCATTAGAGGCCTCTTCTCTTGGCGTCTTTTGATATTGGATACCAAAATGACGTGGTCGATATTCCTCGTCATTGTGATCTTCCCTGTGGAATGGATGCATCTCCTTGTCCCTATCTTCTCTTTGACTTTCTCGGTCACGATTGAAGGTAATTTTTCTTGGTTTTCGTCATCCAGCTCTGTTAGTCTCCATTGTAGACGACGAATTTCTCGTTGAATTTCTTCTCGGGTCGAGTCAAGTGTACGTTTTTGCAGTGGCATGACTAGGGTTGAGAATCGGTAGGAAAAGAATTGGTGGATGTGGCTTAGGTAGGGGCGGATGTTAGGAGACCCTATGATATGACTAGGGTTGAGCTAGCTCTGATATCAAATGATACCGGAACTAGTAGAAAGAATAATGAAACAAAAACAAACTTTTATTAATATAGAATAGGATTACAACCCAACTCAAATAGAAAGAAAATACAATAATAGGTGAATCCCCCTGTTAAGGATGTAGGAAGATGACTGAGGGCGGTGGTAGTGTCGACGGGGTGGTAGGGCAAGATGGGAAAGGTCGGGTGGTTGTTTGGGTAATTTGTGTAGTGTTTGGTTGGTTTTAGGTAGGTAGGACAACATGGTTATGGGGGAAATAGGAGTGGCGGCAGAGTGGTGGAGGCTTATGGGGGTGATAGATAGCTAGGGGAGAGGTAGGAAAAGGGATCGGTAAGAAGAAGCGAAGGAGATTAGAAGCTTACAACACCACCTCGGAGCAGGATACAGCCGAAACATCACCTGTCATCAGATACATCCCTAATAAATAGGAATAGACTCTGCACAAGAGATTAGAATTGTCTCCTACACAAAGGGGATAACTATTTCTAGCCCCTTACTTCTACACAAAAGGATGGAGAGTGGGAATTAAGAAGTATCCAGATTCCAGAAGAAGACTGGTGTCGAAGATACGCGAATCAGCCCTGGATTGCGAGGGTTCGCGATCTGCTTCCTTCTCCTTCGCTCGGGATCGTGTTCCCGTCCCACCCTGCTGTTCTGCGAAGCTTCACAGGTGCTCTGTCCCGCTGGATCGAAGCGCCTGCGTCATTTTATTAACTTTAAATTTTTGTATGTAATATGCTTAACTTGACCATCTTGGATATTTAACTAGTTTTCTTTATCAAATCCAAGGTTCGAAGCTTTTAGCATTGTCTAATATATGAAGTTATGTTTTGGTTATTTTCCTACGATTTTTTTTTTCCTAAACCACAATAATAATAATGCAATTTGGTATGCCATGTTTATGTGTTATGTTAAATTTTTTTTAAGCTTATGATCCTAAATTATGTTTAAACAACTTTGAATCACGCAAAATTGATCCTCTCCTTCCCACCCCGACCAGGCAAATGCGTATAATTACGGGCAACCCATCTAACCTTTAAATCGACTATTTTTTTTCTTCAGCCTTGTCCATCACTTTTTTTTTCTATTTGTTTTTGTACCTTGCTTTTAAACTAATTTATCAGATCACAAAACACCTTTAACAGACCGCCTCGCTAAGATTCTCGAATTAATTTTTTCATCCTTTCTTTCCCCTCTTTTTTGCATAATAAATCACCAGACAACTTTGGAGGAAACTTGGGAAGCACTCTTTACTAGCGTCAGATACGCCAAACATTTTTCAGGCAGCGTGTGTTTTCGGCATGTGATACTTTCTCCTTTGGGGTATGAGACAGCAATGTTCAAAGGTTTATCTGAATCATTTACTTGCCAAGGGACAACAGCAAACTATCTCAGAGCAAACCCCGAGAACCAGAAAACAGCCAGATTATCTGAATTTGGGGAGATGATCCGTGCAGCTTTTGGTCTTCCAGCTGATGAAAACTCACTAAAGAGGCCATCCACAGTCCATAATATCCTCTTTGTCCGTCGTGAAGATTACTTAGCTCACCCTCGTCATAGTGGAAAATTGGAGTCTCGGTTGACTAATGAGCCTGAGGTTTTTACTGCAATACAGAATTGGGCAGCCAACCACACTAAATGCAATTTGCATGTTGTTAATGGAATCTTTGCTCATATGTCGATGCGAGAGCAAATCCGCGCCATTTATGAGGCTTCAGTTGTTATAGGGGCTCATGGAGCTGGTCTTACACACTTTGTCTCAGCAAGATCAAAAACAATTTCTCTTGAAATAATCAGCGGCCAATATCAGCGTCCACATTTTTCATTAATTTCTCAGTGGAAAGGACTAGAATATCATGCAATTAACCTTGCTGGATCATATGTCAGACCTGAAATGGTCATTGATGAGCTTAGTAGCATAGTGAGGAGCCTTGGATGCTAAGAAGAGCTATGGTTTGAAACTTCAGTCACACCAAATCTCACATTAGCTGCTAGCCTTTTGTTTTTTGAAAATTTACATACATACTACTTAATTCCTATGTATTTACATATCTAACACCTAAACTTCAAATTTTACATGTATGCCACCTCACCTATGCATGAAAAAGGTTTATTTGATTTCTTAAATTTAAAATACTGGTATTGTTGATGTGATATGAAAGATTTGGATGGTATAAATGTGAAAAATAAAATTTAGGCGTTAGATTTATAAATACATAGGAATTGGGTGGTATGTATGTAAATACCCCTTTGTTTTTATCTCACTAAGAGACTGAAAAGTTTTCTGAGATTATAACAGGGTGTTTACCTTTGTATGCAGAAATGGGATTAATTCTAGAATCCCTTTCTGAATCCCATCTAAATTTATGACTCCGGGAAGTGATTATGGTCTAAGCATTGTGTTCAAGAGGTAATGCCATTATTAGGATGAAATAAGATCATGACTTCAGAAGGCAAGTTCTGGTGGTGCTGCCTTTCTGTCTACGAGAGTTTATTTAAAATTTTGAGAAATGAGATTTCCTGTGTGGAACTTATTTACCTTGTTTTATATTTTATGTAGCAGTCGGTCATCGATTTCATCTAATGTTTAGATGAATTGGTAGATTGTACCTGGCTGTCCTGGTGATGAATTGAATCGATTGATTTTAAATGGCTTTATGCGAAGGATAACAGTAGCCATTTACGTATTTATGTAAAGATTATGTGTTTTATGTTAGCAGGTTTACTGAAAAGTTCTGCTTTTTGTTGCAGATATGTGGTTAAATTCATGAAATCAGTGCAAAAGTTTATTCTCTAGAATTTTTTTATTTGTCTCTATAAGCTGTGCATTAGATGGCTACTGGTTTGTTATTCTATGTATTGTTGACTCAAGATGATAGGACCTTTGTCATATTGTATTACTACAAGATTTGAACCTGCTGCTTAGTACCTGAATCAACTATTAGGAATAGAGTTTACGCTTAAAATATTATTGGCAGGTGCAAGCTGGTTGTGTTCTGCAATTTTGGAGGGGAGCGAGAGAGAATTTATGTTATGATCCTAACATTGATTTTATATTTAGTTCCAGGGAGGGGGTAAGGTACAATGCGATGGCCGGAGAGAGATTTTGCTCTTTGATCCTAATGGTCTTTGATGAAGAAGCATAAATAGGGACATAGTGAGTTATGTTACCCTAATGTATTATGGAGAGGGACATGTTAAAAATCTGTTGAATTGGCTCTCTATGAATAATTTCTCTTATAATGACTTTCTTAGGTGTTTATTGATAATAATGATTATAATTATTGTAGAAAATTAAACAATAGAGAAAACTCATAAGAATTCTATAAATTATTCTTTGTACAAGAGGTGAGTTATATATAGATATTCAGTAGGAATAAATAAAAAAAATAGAAAAAATAATTAAGAGCAGATGATCCTATAGGAAAACACATTGAAATCAGTGGGTCATGGAGACACAAATCCAATGGTGCAAAGCCTTAATCTGCGTGACTTAAAATTTCTTTTCTATGATTGCAGAGTGAGCTAATAATAATAATAGTTGTAGTAGTAATAATTATAATCATAATATATTAAAATTGCTATCTTTGTACCTCTTATGCAATTAATGACAATTATAATAATTTGGATTTTGATATTTGCCACAATGATCAAGAAAATAATTATGCTATCAATTGTTCACTATCATAGTTGATTGCGGTGTGAGATACCTATACAAGTAGTAGAATTAGAAATTGAGAAATATGACACTCAATAGGACACAATGGAGAAAATATATTTATATAGCCAACCCCACTTAGTAGGATAAAGATTTGTTGATGTTGTTGTATTATTATAAATCATATATGCATTGTTCTCTTCAAATACATTGTAAGGTATACATCAAGTTTGATGAATACATAGTTTGTTATAACTATATCAAAAGTTATGTGATGTAGATCAAGTCTATTAGATTTGGACAGCTGGATGATAACTAATACAATGAGGGATTTCTAGTGGCAACAATTTTTCTGGCATGGTGTCTCCGTTAACATTCACTTACAACATGACGGTTGAGTTGGTAAGCATTAACTTGGTGCGAAGTAGGAGGAACCTTGTATTGAGTTGGGCCCTTGTGAGATATTAGAAGTTTGATCTTTTATGGAGATGTTGTTTTTTATGCAGTCACTAATAAAGTGACAGTCTACCTCTATAAGTTTGGTTCATGTGTGGAATGAGAGATTGCTGGCCAGTTGGAGGGACGATATATTGTCACAAAAGAGGGGTGTAAAGAGGGGAGGTTAACACAGAATTCTTGAAGAAGTTGATGAAACCATATAAAGTAAGTGGTTGTTGTAGTGATGGTATCGTACTCGGCTTCGGTAGATGAGCATGTTACTGTAGTTTGTTGTTTTTTGACATACCATAATGTTAAGGTATGACTTAGCAATGCATAGTGACTTGTAATGTACTTGTGGTCAGTTTGATCTCCAGACCATTTAGAGTCGGAATAGAATGTGAGGTCATCATGATGTATTTGTAGGTCTATTGTGATAGTACTTTTGATATATCAGATAAGGTGTTTGAGTTAAGTGAAGTGGAGATTGAGAAGGTGATGAAGATGTTGACAAAGTTTGTTTACAATGTATGCAATATTCAGATGAGTGATGCTAAGGTATTGAAGGAACCAATGAGGTGACAAAATAGTTGATTGTTGTATTCTTGCAGGTTTTTGGTGGAGGCGTGGTTTTGGATGGGTTTATAAGACGCCATTCTAGCTTGAGAGGGAATTTGAATGTCGAGGAATGTGATGATGGATTCAAGATGTTTATTTTGAAATGTCTGTTGTTTGTGAACAAGAGTGGCCATGGATGCATGTTCATTGCTGGTCAGGAGAATGTGTCCAAACGGATGAGTTCGTATATTTCAATTTAAGGATGGTTGTATGTCATTAGGGAGGGATCTTCTGCACTGAAGTTGAATCCAAGTTGTTGATGCTCTGAGGAGGATGTGGTTTATCATTGACATGAAGATTATTCGAGTCCAAGCCTTCAGGTCAGGAGATATACAATCTTTCATTGAGTTTGCCCTGAAGGAATGCGCTGGAAACATTGAGCTATGTTATTAACCAGTTGCGAATGGTTTCTATTACCAAGAGGGTTTGAATTGTGGGCTTTTTAGAAATGGGGCTTAACCTTTATGTAAGCCTTGGTGTTACTTGTAGCCTTTAGCTACTAGGCGTTCTTTGTACCATGCAACTATGCTGTCGAAATTGCTCTTTGTGTTGTTTGCTCTTTTGTTGTCCATGATGGTTTTGATAGGGGAAAGGAGGAACCAAAACCCAAGTTCGTTTGTGAGAGAAGTGCCTGAAATTCTTTTGACATGCAGATCACCAATTTAGATCTTTTGCTATAGTAGATTAGCAGATTGGGTCTGTTGTGGAATGTTTGATATTATGGTTAAGGTAAAAAATTTGTTTCAATTTCAGTTGTTGAGAGTGAGTAAACCTTTTTATTTCTGGGTTGAGATTTGATGTAGATGAAGCTAAAATGGGTGGGTGAGTGGAGGGTTGTTGATGTTCTGACAAGTTGTGGTGGATTGGTGGGTTGGGATTTACATGGTGTGGGTGTTGGGTTAGATTTGGGTTGGTGGAGTTCAGACTCCACGGTGATAAGGGGTGGACAGTAGAAGGGTTGTGGCTGTCCGGTTGAGATTTTTTGCAGGATATAAGAGTTTTGGCATGGAAAAACTAAGTTAAGGAATCAAACATGACGATATATGTTGGTCTAACTTGTATTGGAGTTGTAACATTTATATCATTTGTGAAAAAGTGCATATCAGATGAATATGCATGGGATAGATTTTGGTGATTGTTTATTAGATGTGATGTGTGTTTGTCATGCATGTATGTTGGTGATTGCATTTGAGAGGTTGGAATGGGGATTTATTATTGGTATTAGTGAAAGTGGAGAGCTGTGGAGACCCGGCTTCTGTCATGCAGGTTGTTACAACGGAAGTGGAGTGGTGTCCCGTGGCAGGGGAAATGAAATGGACCTATTATGCCCCCTTAAACTTACAATTTGGTGGGCAGATTGTGAGATTGCTCCAAAGTCGAATAAACTGAGTGGAAGTGTGACTTTTAGTGAAAATCTCTCCCACTTGTTCTTGGGAGCAAATATGAGAGATCTGAATTTCACGGGAGAAAATTTGATCTCGTAGAAAGTGATAGTTGATTTCTATGTTCTTGGTATGAGCGTGGAAGATCGGGTTGAGAGCGATGGCAATTGCGGATTTCCCAAGCTCTCTCTAGTGTATCCACAAGAATGATATCATCAACAAAAAACATACACCAAGGTACATTCTCTTGTAAATGTCCAGTAAGAACATCCATAACTAAAGTAATAATTAAAAAAAAAAAACTTCAACTTAAAACCAATCCCTGACTTACCCTAAATTAGTTATATACATAGTTAAAGTAGGATACATACTTTCCTCAATGTATTCTAGTTGGAGTGGAGCAGAAAGATGAGAACTACTGGAGTTTTGGTGGTCTCTGTAAGACATGCCTACGTTACCATCCCGACTAGCTCTAATGGCGACTGTATTGTCAAGGTTCCTTCGGGAAGGCGATGGATTTCAGTGAACCCGTGAGGAAGAAGGAAAGGGGAGAAGGAAGGGGAGAAAAGGAGTCACGCGCGAGGCTTTCGTGCATAGGGGGAGACGAGCGAAAGGAGGAGACAATAAGAGAGAAATAAAATTTAGTTGAGCGTGCATCGGATTTGCATAAACTTTTTTCGACGCTAAGAAGTAAAGTATTTGCGACGTTTTTTCAACGTGATGTTGACGCAAAATTCGTAGAAAATCCAAAAAAAGTTTCACCGTTTGCGGAACACTTATACCGACGAATTGTCCACCGTAAATCAAACATTAATTCCAATACAAATATCATAAATTATTTTTCGTCGCTTAGCAGCCCCAAATCCAAAGCTAAAAGTTGCATCGAAAATATCCGACGCAAATATCACACGCTAGTTCTATCAACTCCTATACTGTCTCTCAAGAAAAATCTTCTGAGAT